ATGTAAATTATAATAAAGTAATAAAGACATTCTATATTTATACAAAATATATTTTACATATATATATTTTTATATATAGTGTTTATATGATATGATATCTTGGGAAAAATTTGGAATCTTGTTGACATTCCATATGGATATTTTGTACTAGGGATATAACACTTTTTTTCTTGGTTAAATTCTAGGAGGAACTCACTATCAAGCTGAAGTCCTTACAAGAAAAGCTCAAACACACAGAGGAAGTCAAAGGAGAGTGTGAGGAAGCAGTTCAACACATCCAGGTGAAGAAACACTGTCAAATACTGTACCTTCAGCACACTGAACACAGAACTGAACTGAATGATATTTCTGTTTTTCTTTGAGACTCAAGCTCAGCATACAGAGCGTCGGATTAATGAGGAGTTCAAGAAGCTTCATCAGTTCCTCATCGATGAAAAAGAGGCAATAATCACTGCACTGTGGGAGGAAGAGGAGCAGAAGATTCAGATGATGAAGCGGAAGCTGGAGGAGATGAACACACAGATCTCGGCTCTTTCAGACACGATTAAAGACATCGAGGAGCAAATGAAAGCCAAAGATCCTGCGTTTCTAAATGTGAGAACTGGTTTTGTCTTGCTCATCATCCAACCTGTCAAATTCTGACAATGTGTATGAAGATTCATTTTATATCATTTAATTTATGCCAAGATTTTTATGGGAGGTGGAATCAAGTAGTTAATTTTTGGCTGGTTAGAATGGCACCACTGGGCCCCGAAATCTTTTATTACCCCTTAGACCCCCTTTTATTATATATTTGAATATTATATAATATATTACAGCATAATATTTTGTTTTTATTTTTTATCATTTTGTCTGCTGTCTTTGACATCACAGTTTACAGTGGTTCTCAACCTTTTTGGCTCGAAGGCCCCCCTTATAATAAATTCAATTTTTATAAATTAAAAATTATAAATTTAAATTATTCTAACAATATTTGAAGAAATGAAAATATGTGTTTGATTATATTTGTTTTTTTTAGTATTTTAATTTAGATCAGTCATTTTAATATACTAATAATAATTTATTAATGAAATTGTTTTTAAAGGAGACATATTATGCCCCTTTTTTACAATATGTAATATAAGTTTCTGGTGTCCCCAGAATGTGTCTGTGAAGTTTCAGCTCAAAATACTCCACAGATCATTTATTATATCATTTTGAAAATGCCTATTTTGAGTGGAAGCAGAAACGCACTGTTTTTCGGGCCTGTCTCTTTAAATGCAAATGAGCTGCTCCTCCCCGCCCCCTTTTCCAGAATAGAGCTGCGCCATTAAAGCTTGAACCTGCTAAAAAACATCTGTTTTGGTTCTGATTTGTTTATCACTCTGAAATCATGCGTTTTAAACCATATGAGTTTAAACTTCTGATACACGGTTTTCTGAGCGCACACGTACAGAAAGCGGCTGTCACAGCACGTGAGTACTAAACTAAGTTCTCATTCACACACAAGTTTACCTTAAGAACACACGAGTTACAAAAACAGTGGGTTATGTCTGTGAAGGTAAACAGCTGGGAAATAAATCACGTTTATCATTTAGATCTGTGTGGCAGCAGCAATATACAGTAAATAAATCAATAAATCCACTGCTCTCTTGTCTCCTCTGAGGCTGGGACT